TGACAAAGATCCCATTTTGTCTTTGCAGTTATTAAAACATAGCACACCTCACAGTGGTAGTATAAGAGACATTGGTCTGGACAAGTTCTTCTGCCACTATTGGAGTCCAACACAGCTACATGTATATAACACATTGTCCAAAAAATGTCCCTCTGTAGTTTGCTTTGATGCAACAGGCTCAGTTGTGAGAAGACTGGTGAGACCAAATGGAACATCTGGCCACATCTTCTTATATCAAGGTGTTCTGACAGGGGACAACTGCTCGGTCCCAGTTGTGCAAATGCTGTCAGAGAGACACGACATAAATGCAGTTGCAACATGGCTTACAGAATGGCTTCGTACAGGTGCTGCTGTACCAAAGGAAGCCGTGAGTGACTTCTCCCTGGCTATTCTCGGTGCTCTGGTGAGGGCCTTCACTCCTTACCCTGATCTGAAGGCATACATTAACGAATGTTTCCGTCTGCTACTTGGAAACAAGTCAGCAAACTGTCCTCCATGTTTTATCAGAGTTGATGTGGCACACTGCATAAAGATGATCTGCCAGTGGGACTGCCTGAAAAACAAGTCACACCGTGTCAAAGACTTCTTTGTCAGAGCAATAGCCAAGCTTCTACAATCACAGTGTTTGGACCATGCAAAACAGCTGATACATGCGATCACTGTTGTGGCCCTCAGTGAGGCAGAGGGTGATGATAGCTCTGGAGTTCCTCTGGAATCAGAGAGGTGCAAAAAATATCTAAAAACACAGATAACAGAAGACTCCATCATTCCAGCCGAAGACACAAAGGAAGTGCATCAAATGGAACCTTTAGACGAGATCCAGACTGACCTTCGAGACTGGGTATCAAACATATGCGAGAAGAGCAGGTCACTCGCTGCAGCCAATGGGGACAGGGATAACATCCATTTCCTCCCTGAGATTGTTCCACACATTATAAGACTTGCAAGTTACTTGCCACTTTGGACAGGAGTAATGGTCCCCCTCTTCAGAAGCACTAGCCTCACTGCAAGCTCAGCCACTGTGGAAGCAGAATTCAAAAGTGTAAAACATGGCCTTTTTAAACATGAGAACTTGCCCATTAGACTTGATCGATTTATTTCTCGTCATCTTTCCTTCATCGAAGGAAAAATGAGGATTTGTTCTGGGAAAGTAAAACATGAAATAGCTGGATTAACAAAAGTTTCAGAAACAAACTCTGCTTCCATGAGCACCCACAGTGCTGAAGCCAAGAGAAGAATAGATTCTCACCATTCTCCAGAACTTGATGAAACAAACATTCCGCCAACAGATGAAGATGTGGTAGAAAACTGGAGGGGACTAATTCTTCCACCGAAAAAAAGGAAGAGGACTTCATATCTTACTTCCTGCACTGAATGGCTCCATGCAGATCCATCTGTTCGGGGACAACCCCATCTTGCAGCTTGTGAAAGCCATTACTGCAGATAGTGTGACCCCAAAGATATACTCACAGAGGGCAGAGCTGCTTAGTGCAATGTTTCAAAAAATCGAGTTGAAGTCTGGAGCCCACCAAATCGATGCCCAGTGCAATATCTCCACTGTCATTGGTAAAACAATGAGAAATGTATCAAACATTTACCTGTCTAAACACTGCTCTTCTCAGTACTGCCAGCTAAACAAAGGAACAACTAGGGAAGTACCATTTGTTTCTCCTGACATTTCTGTCCTGATGAAGTCTGGCTTGGCTCAGCTTGGTACTTCAGTCGAAAATGGACTCTTACTTCCAGAGTCTACCTGCCTTCGCCAACTACAGAAAGAATCAGAATGTCCAGTTGCATTCAAAACAGGAGACAGCACGTCAGGGAAAATACTCTGTGCAGGAACTCTAACTCACAGCTACCAAATTGGAGAAATAGCATGGATTGTCACTGACCTCTTACAAACTACTCAGTTTACTTTGAGTGAATTTCCCTCCGTTGTGGCTCTCCAAGGAAAGACATTCACTTTGAGAGGAGTCATCGTTTTCAAGGGAAGCTTGACCAAAGATGTTATGGGACATTACACTGCATACTGCCGTAGAGCTCCATGTGTGTGGGAGCTTTATGATGACCTGGCAAAAGCAGTGCAGACAGTGTCAGAGAAGGAAAAAATTCAACCACATGCAGCATTATACACAGCAGACTGAATGCTGTGAATGAACACATTCCACTTGGAAGTTTTCAGAAGCCCAGGTCAAAAGCAAATAGTTTGTTATTGTTTGATATTATAATTTATTTATAGTCAGACCATAAACAGGTTGTGTTTTATGTTTTTTGTGACCAATTATTACATGGCAAAGTATGTTTAAGTGTACCAATGGTGGTTTATTGAAATGAGACAAGATTCAGAAAATTGTACATAATTTATTAAGCTTCAATAACGTCTTTAATTGCTGATAACCTGAATTTCATTAGTGAATACATTTAACGAAAATTTTTAGAAAAATAGCTACATTTCAAATGTCACGACGCAAGAAGCCTCACAACAGGTGAGGGCTTGCTTATATGCAGCAGCCAAAATTGGCCTTAAAGTGGCAACGTCATCGGGCGAAATTATAATTCTTAATATCTCATAAACTAAAGCTGCACAAACGCTAGTTTCACCGGAACAAACGAGCACTAACGAAGCACTAAAAAAGTAGACC